GCGAACAAATCACGCAGCCGCTAGCGATTTGCCGGGCCGGCTGGCCCCACAATTCTACCCACCACCTCATCAAACTCTTCGGCTAGCTGCGCCACGACCGGCTGGAGAAAGAAGTTCAAAATCTTGTTCCATAGCTCCCATGAAAGAATTCTAGGCAACGCCCCAAGTCAGCAACGCCCGAAACAGCGTCAAAGACACCGAATACACGCCGGTTCGCCATGGTCATGTCGGCATTGAGGGTGCCAATTTTCACTGGTCGTTGGTTCTTGTAAGGACAGACGGCCAGACGAAGCATATTTTCAACGCAGAAAAGGGGACGAACAAACAGCATATGTGTTCAGCGTGAGTTTGAAACGTAAAGGGCTGGGCCACTGCAGCTACGGATACATATACGGATGAGTTGTAATGAGGAATCGACGGGGCGTTGGGCACGCGCGTGGACAGAAGAGGCTGGTGCGTCTCAGGAGACGTGCTAGGTACACAAAAGGTCAACTTCTATGCCGCGGCAACGTAAGGCCGAGCGCTGGGAAGACGCGCGGCCACGTGTACCCAGCTCCCACAGGTCATCCACGCCATGTATGTCCAGCTTCCTGACGCACGTCGGTTTCACCCGCAATTATATTTTCGAAGGGCGCGCTGCGCCAGAACGCTGCTGGGTGAGGGGGGGGGGGGGGGAGGGCGAGAGCGAATGGGGCGGAGAGGGAGGAAAAGAATCTGAGAGTGGGGCGTTGTGGTGGATGAACGTGCGCGGGCGGTTTAAAGTTGGGGAGGGACGAGCGGTATCTGGGAATCGGGCGTTGCACCCGCTAGACCGCGGGCTGTGCACCCGCAGCCGCACACAAGGCATTGCACCTGGTATGAATCAGCGTTGCGCCCGTTGTGGGTTCCGCACGCGCACCACACAAAGCACTGCACCTGAAACGGATGGAAGTTGCACCCGTGTTGGTTTGGCACCCGCAGCACGCAAGGCATTGCACTTGAAATGAATGGGCGTTGCACACGTCTTGGGCGAAGCACCCGCTCATCCCTATTCCTCCTTCCTCCTCCTCCTTTTCCTCCTCCTCTGTTTGGGGCCCTCTGGGGGCGTTGCGCCCGCTTTCGGCTTTGCGCCCGCAGCACTCGCGGCATTGCACCTTGTACGGGTGGGCCTTGCGCCTGATGGGCTGTGCGCCCGAAGGGCACATGGCATTGCACCTGGAAGTAGTCGGCGTTGCACCCAGACTGGGCGCTGCACCCGGAGCACACGTGGCATGGCACCTGGCAGCAACGGGCATTGCACGCGAAGGTGATGCACTTGCGCTCCTGTGTCCTTTTTCCCCCTCCGAACACTGCTATTCCGTAGTAGCCCGAAGCGTTGTGAAGAGCATGGGCCACCACATCATTTATGTTGTAGTATTTTCTGGCGTCCGAAAGCTGGCGGCCACCTTGCGGGGGGTCTGGAACTTAACGTTCCAATCGTATTTCTCTCCCCGCCCTTTCCTCGTCCTCTCTCTCGCTCTTTTTTTTTTTTTTTCTCTCTCTCTCTTGAAATGACGAGGGGTGAAACAAGATAACGAAAAAGGCATGGCTGAGGAGAAGAGGAAGACAGAAGGGAGGAGGATAACTACAGGGATGAAGGGGGCTACCCCATTTCTGCCCTTTACCAAATGCCACCACACACTCCTATTTTCGACAGACACCAAACACTGCTATCCTACAGTCTGTATGGGTCCCGCAAACACCCTCAGGCGAGCCAGCAAGGTCGCGGGAATTGTACGAATTCGAGGAAGCGCAACAAATAGCAGCGTGTGGTGGCCATTCGCCTTCGGATGTCGGATGTCTGAGGGATTACTGGACATGGGAGTGCTTGGTGGACAGTGGTAAGGCGCAGAGGTAGAGTATGCCTACTCATCCTTGTCGTGATCCTCCCTCCCTCTCTCCCTTTTCCTCCTCCTCCGTCCAGCCGACTGTTCCCCTTGTCCATGTCCCACCTAGTCGGGCAAGCAAGGGCAAACAAGCGGCGAGGAGAGAAAGACGATTTTAATTACCAATTCAAAACCCACAAGGTGGATCGTGGGGGGAGCACGCGTGTATACATATATATATATATACACACATACATACATACAGATATACTAGAACCATCGCGCGCGCCTCGGTTCTAGCTGGTCGGGTGCTGACCGCATTGGGACAACAAGGCGGCCATGAATAATGAGGTCAACGTTCTCTGTGCCCTCCTGCCTCTTCCTCATTCCCCCTCCTGTGCTCTCATCGGCTGGTCGACCGGTGATCTGTCGCCAAGCTTCTTGGGGACCTCTTGACCCCTCCTGTTGGGGGTCTCCTGGGGCGAAGATCTCGGGCTCTCGGTACACGTTCCCGATGGTGGCCTTCGGCCCATCCCGTCACAGTGCCTGAGTTGTGGGTTAGAGGCCTCTTGTAAGTTCGTTTGGAATTCGTGGGAGGCTTTCCCGGGGGCCTCTCGCAGGCAATGTTGGAGGCCTCTTGGGGGCCGTTTGGGATGCTCTTGGGGCGTCTTCTTGGGCCCGTTTGGGGCCTCTAGGGGGCTCTAGGGGGCCTCGTGGGCTCTGTTGGGGGCCTCTTGGGGCATCCTGGAGGCCTCTTGTGGCGGAAGGCTCAAATTGTCGGTTCGTGTTCCCCGTCTTGGGCCCCTCTTGGGACCGTCTTGGGGCCCTCTTGGGCGCCGCTCGGGCCGTCTTGGGGCACTCTTGGGCCGTCTTGGGGCTCTCTTGCGCCGTCGTGGCGCCCTCTTTGGGTGCCTCTTGGGCCGTCTTGAGCTGATTTCTGGGGCCTCGTGGGCTGTCTCGGACCGTCGGAAGCATGAAACAGCGAGAACACGACAGACCTTCAAAAACACTCGAACAAACCCATAAGGTTCGTCTCCTGAGTGCCTCGTAAGAATCCTTTTGAAGGCATCTCGGACGTCTTGAAGCCCATTTGGGCTGTCTTAAAACATGGTGGACCAATTTTGAAACGCGCTTGTGCGGTCTTGGGCTCTCTTGGAGCGCTCTGGGACCGCTCTTGGGCTATCTTGGCGCCCTCTCGGACGTCTCTCGGACCCCTTTGACGTTTTTTGTCGCGCCCCCGCCGGGCCCGAAACGGCCGGAATATGAATCAAGTGCAATTGGGGGGCCTGGGACCCCCTGCACACACACACACATATATATATATATGTATATATGCATACATGTATATATACAAACATACATATATGTATGCATGCATAGATGTATGTATGTATGTATGCATGTAGGTATGTATGTATGTATGTGTATGGTAATGTGTATGTCTATGTGCATGTATATATGTGTGTGTGTATGCAAGCATGCATACATGCATGCATGTATGTATAAACGTATGCAGGTACGTATGCATGTATGTGTGTCTAGGTGTACATCTAGATGCACATGTGCATGCTGGAATCTGTGCACCTAAATATGTATACATATGTACGCACGCATTCATACATACACATAGTCGTATACATACACACTGGACTGGGACCGATAGAAGCTAAACAATAACCAAGCGACGACCACACATGCATATGTATAAAAGCACGCATATATACATACTTATATATAGATGTACGATTACATACAACTCTATACATCTGCACATGCATCGAAGGAAGCCACAAGCATATTTATACATATACACTACTATACTTGTATATATATATATATATCTGAAGGAGAGAGAGAGAGAGAGAGAGAGAGAGAGAGGGGGAGAGAGAGAGAGAGGGAGAGAGAGAGAGATAAACAAAACAGGCAACACTAAAACAACCGACCCACATACTGGCCAAGCTTTGGAACGCGTTAGGGGATAGAAGACGATCTGGAAGAACATATAGAAACAGAGATCAAGAGAGAGAGAGAGAGAGAAAGGGAGAGGGAGGCGGGGCCCGATCCGAAACCAGCACCCCCAACGTCTCAAGGGTCCCGAAGCGAGGCCAGCAGAGGCGACGAGCCCCCCCCCCCCAACGGCAGGCCCAAGCAGATCCAGCAGAGACGCCAGAATCCACTTCACCCCTTGCCCCGCCTCTTCCTGTGAGAAAGGGGTTGGCTCGGACTCCCGACGTCGTGACCTACTTAAGTGAACCTCGGGACCTCCCGACACCTTCCTCGGGAGCGGCCAAGAGGGGGGTGTCCAAGAGGGGGGGGTGCAAATCATGACCAGCGGCATGTGCGCGGCCCAGCGGGGGGGCCTGGGACGTAATGAAATAAGAAGAGGCGCCATGACATCTGGGGAAAAATCATGGCCCGCGCCATGAAATCCACCCCCCCCTAGTCATCACCCCCCTCTTTTCCGCCCCAGATACTTAAGTGAACCTCCGGACCTCCCGACACCTTCCCCGGGGCAGGCTTTTCATACCGGGGTGCTCTCTGACGGCCACGGGGCCCGGCAAAGGGCCCCTGGAGGTCGAGCGTGGCCGAACACGTCCGGTCGTGATTTTTTGTCGCGACGGGGAGGGGTCTGGGCCCGTGCACCCTAAATCAAGACGCGAATCTGTCCTGGGGTGCGTTCTGGGCAGACTTTCGCGGCAGATCCAGGAGAGGTCTACCGGGTGCCACACAGATAGGGAGAGCCAAACAGTCCCGATGGAGGGGGGAGAGAGAGAGAGAGAGAGAGAGTGTGTGTGTGTGTGCGTGCCAGAGAGAGAGAGAGAGACACGAAACAAAAACACACACACACAAATGAGACAAACAGGGGGAGAGAGAAAGAGAGAAATATAACAACACAAGGACACAGGGCATACGTATTTACGTATACATATAACAGTGACTGTATATCAAGAGACAGGGCCATGAACATATACCTTAATATAACCATAGAACTATAAATATGTAGAGAGAGAGAGAGAGAGAAAAAAAAAGAGAGAGATAGAGATAATGAGAGAGAAACAACTAATAACGAACCAGAGAGAGATAGAGAGGGAGAGAGTCCGAAAGACGGGCACAGAGAAAGAGAGAGAGAGAGAGAGAAACAGGCAGTCGGACGTCCTCGGAGCCCAGCGCCGTTGCGAATGCCTCCTTGTTCATTTGCAGCTCCTCACTTTTGTGAGCGCGCGGGGGGGGGCTGGAGAGGCGGCGTGCGGCGGCGGCGGGAGGCCGTCGGGACCCGACCGGACGAGCGATTCTCCCCGCCGCCGCCGACTTCCCCGCGCCCTTCGCTGCGGAGGACTGCTGCGGGGCGCCCCTGCCTGGTCGCCACGGCCTGACAGGCCACGAGCGCCGAACATATCCACATGCACGCCCTCGCCGTTGGACTGCGAGGCGCGATCCCGTGCCTACGCGGCCGCACGGACGTGCTCCGCGCGGGGCGTCCGCGAAGAAACGTCCCGCATCCACGGGAGGCGCGGCCCGGGGGCCCGGCACGCGAAGCCGCGGACGCGGACACGTTGCCCGCCCACGAGGAGCGTGGACACTGCAGTAGGGGCTCTGGGATCAACATTGCCCGAAGTGCGTTTCGCTCGGAAGGTTCTCATGATGGCAAAAACAAGGGAGGATCCCACAGGAGGAACGGGGAGCTCGAGAACCCTGGTACCAGCAGCCGTTTCGCCTGAGACATCCTCGCGCATTACTCAAACATCGCGTTCGCGCTCTCACCAAGACGGCCGCGATCCCTGGTAACACAAACACACACGCGCACGCACACATACACACAGACGCACGCGCAAGCACGCACGCCCACACGCACACGCACACACATCCGTACACGAATGCACACACACACACACATTCACACATTCACACGCACACACACACACACACGCGCACACCTGCACGCACACGCCCAAACAAACACACAGACACACTCACACACACACACACACACACACACGCACACGCACACGCACACGCACACGCACACGCACAGACACAGACACGCACACGCACACGTACACGCACGCGCACGCGCACATGCACACGCACACGCGCACACGCGCACACGCGCACACGCGCACACGCACACATGCACGCGCACACGCGCACATGCACGCGCACGCTCGCATACGCGCACACGTGCACACGCGCACACGCGCACACGCGCACACGCGCACACCCGCACACGCGCACACGCGCACACACGCGCACACACGCCAACCCGCACACGCGCACACACACACCCCCCCCCCACAGACAGACACACACACACAAAAAACAGCAAAAAACACGCACGCACGCACCCACGCACCCTCGCGCGCACGCACACGCGCACGCACACGCACACGCACACGCACACGCACACGCACAAGCATTGCACTTGCACTTGCACTTGCATTTGCACGTGCTCGCACACGCGCACCCACACGCACGCGCACCCACACCCACAGGCACGCGCACGTGCACACACACACACACACACACACACGCGCACGCACACACGCACACGCACACCAGCACACACGCTTACACACGCACACACGCACACACAAACAATGCACACGCACACGCACACGCACACGCACACGCACGCACACCCACACTTGCACGAGTACTCACACTTGAACTTGCACTTGCACTTGCATTTGCACGCGCACGCGCACGCGCATCCACACGCACGCACACCCACACCAACAGGCACGCGCACGCGCGCGCGCACACACACACACACACACACGCACGCAAACACGCACACACGCACACACGCACACACGCACACACGCACACATGCACGCACACGCACACACGAACACACGGACTCACGCACACACGCGCACACGCACACACACACACACACACCCGCACACGCACACCCGCACGCACACACACACACACACACACAAACCACAAAACACGCACGCACGCACGCACGCACGCACGCACCCACGCATGCACGCACACATGTACACACACGCACATGCAGACGCGCACACGTACAAGCACACATGCACTTGCACTTGCAGGTGCACAAGCACTTGAACTTGCCTTTTCACGCGCACGCGCACTCGCACGCGCACCCACACGCACGCGCACCCCCACCCACTGGCACGCGCATGCGCACACACACACACTCAAACACACACACACACACACACACACGCACACACGCACAGACGCACACACGCACACACGCACACACGCACACACGCACACACACGCACACGCACACCCGCACACCCGCACACACAAACAAGAAACGCACGCACGCACGCACCCACGCACCCATGCACCCACGCACGCACACCCACACGCACACGCACACGCGCACACGCACAAGCACACATGCACTTGCACTTGCACTTGCACTTGCATTTGCACGCGCACGCGCACGCGCACGCGCACGCGCACGCGCACCCACACGCACGCGCACGAACACCCACAAGCACGCGCACGCGCACACACACACAAGCACGCGCACGCGCACACACACAGAGACACGCACACGCACACACGCACACACGCACACACGCACACACGCACACACGAGCACACACACAGACACACACACAGACACACACACACACACTTACACACACACACACACACACGCACACACACACACAGACACACACACACACACACTTACACACACACACACGCACACACACACACACTATTCGTGTGCTTCGCTGGGGTGGTCGTTGGCATGCGGCGTCGGAGGAAAGGCGCTGGGACCCACACTCCCCCAGACGAGCGGGCCTCTCCTCCGCAGGCTCGGGCGTCTCTTCCACGCCCTCCCACGCGCTGGCTCCCAGGCCTCCTCGGCCTGGGTGCGCCTTACGAGCCTTTCCCTCCTCCGCGGCCGCCCTCCTCTGCCTCTCGCGCGCTTGTGCGCAGTTAGCCATGCAGCGACCCAGCGTAGGTTTCATCCGCGCCCGCGATGCGGGTCAAACATGCGGACGGGCCCTCGGCTTAGAAGCCGCAGCGCCGCGCTCCACCTCTCCTCCCGCCTTCTGCCTCCTCCTCCCCCGCCCCCTCGTTCTCCCCTTCCCGCCCTGGGCCCATTTCGGCACACCACTCGCGCGGATCGTGCCCCACAGGGATCTCCACGGGCACACTTCGCATGCCGCTGCGGGCCCATTTCGGCGGACCACTCCCGCGGATCGTGCCCCGTAGGGAGCTCCACCCACGGCCTCAGTGGGCCAGTTCGCATGCCCCGGCTAGCCCATTCTGGCCCCACAGGGAGCTCATTTACGGCCCCAGAGGCAAAAGTCGTATGCCGCGGCGCGCCGATTTCGGCACACTCCTCGTACGGATGGTGCTCCATAGGGGGGCCCGCCTACGGCTCCTTTTATTCAAAGTGCGAATGCTGCGGCGCGCCCTTTTCGGCACACCCCTCACACGGATCCGTTTGTGCCCCACATGGCGCTCCAACTCTCGCCTCATCGGGTGGGTTCGGGAAGGGGCTTCCGTAAATTTCGACACACCTACGAAGAAAGGGCCCAACCCTGCGCTACGCGCAGGTGTATAGGGTTGGGAAGTGCAAGTGCATGTGTGCTTGTGCGTGTGCGCGTGTGTGTGCGTGTGCGTGTGTGTCTGCGTGCGTGAGTGGGTGCGTGCGTGCGTGCGTTATTTTTGTTGTTTGTGTGTGCGTGTGTGCGTGTGTGCGTGTGTGTGTGTGTGTGTGCGTGTGTGTGTGTGTGTGTGCGCGTGTGCGTGAGTGTGTGTGTGTGTGTGTGCGTGTGTGCGTGAATGCGTGCGTGCGTGCGTTGTCTGTTGTGCGTGTGTGTGTGTGTGTGTGCGTCCGCGTGCCTGTGCGTGTGCGTGCGCGTGCGTGTGGGTGCGCGTGCGCGTGCAAATGCAAGTGCAAGGGCTCGTGCAATTGCATGTGTACTTGTGCGTGTGCGCGTGTGAATGTGCGTGTGCTTGCGCGTGTGCGTGCGTGCGTGGGTGCGTGCGTGCGTGCGTGCGTTGTTTGTTGTGCGTGTGTGTGTGTGTGTGCGTATGTGCGTGTCTGTGTGTGTGTGTGCGTTTGTGTGTGTGTGCATGTGTGCGTGTGTACGCGTGTATGCGTGTGTGTGTGTGCGTGCGTGTGTGTGTGTGTGTGTGTTTGCGTGCGCGTGCCTGTGGGTGTGGGTGCGCGTGCGTGTGGATGCGCGTGCGCGTGCGCGTGCAAATGCAAGTGCAAGTGCAAGTACTTGATCAAGTGCATGTGTGCTTGTGCTTGTGCGCGTATTCGTGTGCGTGTGCGTGTGCACTGTTTTTTGTGTGCGGGTGTGCGTGTGTGTGCGTGTGTGCGTGTGTGTGCGTGTGTGCGTGTGTGCGTGTGTGCGTGTGAGTGTGAATGTGTGCGTGTGGGTGTGCGCGTGCGCGTGCGCGTGCCTGTGGGTGTGGGTGCGCGTGCGTGTGGATGCGCGTGCGCGTGCGCGTGCGCGTGCAAATGCAAATGCAAGTGCAAGTGCAAGTGCAATTGCTCGTGCAAGCGCATATCTCGTTGCAACTGCTCCATGCGCCGCGCCTGCTTTTCCCAGACGGCGTTCCGATCGATTCAGAAGTTCCGCTTCCGGCAGACCCAGCGGATGTCGAAGCTTTCCTCGCGCAGCTGAAGCACTACCTCCTCACAAAATGTGTCCTTTCCGAGGGGGTCGTTAGTGGCTCCCCCTGGCCGCAGTCCGACGGGCGCGGTAGCTCCAGTCACAGAACCAGCGGATGTCTCAGCGGGGCTTGCTGTACAGCCTGTCATTGGGGTCATGATGGGGCACATACGCGATGTCAGTGTGGGGTCCTGTGCCATGGGGGCCGTAAGAGGGGCGCGCGGCCAGGTCTCTCGTTAGAGGCTCCCCCAGTCGCTGGGCTGGGGTGCGTTGCGTCGGCGGCGTTCTGATGGAGCAGCTCACACACACAACACACACACACACACCACACACACACACACACGCATACCCATACGGGTAGGGGGTCCGAGGGAAGAGGACTGGCTGTCGGTGTGGGTGCGGCTTGTCGGACCGCGGGGGGGATCCCGTTCGAACGGGGGCCCCACTCCGATAACACGCACCACGCCACCCAATCCGACAGCACGCTCTCCCCAGGGGCGGCGCTGGAGGCGCAGCCAGCGGGGCCCAGCCAAGATCAAGAGATCTGCGCGGACCTCCGAAACTTTATGCTTATGCCGTGCTCTTCGTCCATAAGTCCCCTCCGCCCCCTCCTATGAGTAAAATCGATGATTCACCACAACCCCCAACCCTTTGGGAGGGGACCTGAGTTAGTAGAGCCAGGAACATTCGGGATAGGGGGTCTTTTTTTCTGTTCTGCTGATGTATCGAACCAAACCGCCCATAGGTGTTAGCCCTAATGCGAAGAAGGGGGCCTCAGTGAGGCCACGTCTCCATCGTGCTCGTAGGGGTTCTTTTATCCTCAATGAACACAGGATCGAGGCTCGGAGAATCGAGGGTGTGTGCTGTTCGCGTGTCGAGCAGAAGGTGGACCAGCCGCAAGCTGCAACAGCAGGGGCCGGCCGCCGGCCGCTCCTGGCGCGTCAGGCCCTCGCGGCAGCGGTAGAGCTCCAGGAACTTCCACGCCTCGCCGCTGGTGACCTCCCCCGCTCCGCGCCGGCACCCCAGCGAGGGCGGGCAAGGGCCGCTGCCACGAGGAGACAGGTTACCAGCCTGGGACATATCCCTATCCCTATGCTGGGTACCTCCTCATCACGATGTCAATCATAGAGAGAGAGAGAGAGAGAGCGTGATCCACCGCCGCTTTACAATGGAAAATTGCCAACTTTTTCCCCGGAGCCCCCGGGGGTCGCCCCCCCCCACGCCCTCCGAAATCCCCCCCCTCCCATACCCCCCCCCCCGCCCCCCCCACCCCCCTCCCCCCCTCCCCTAACCCCTGAGCCCCTCCCACCCCCCCCCCCTCTCCCCCCCGCAAAAAAAACCCCCCCCCCACACCCAACACTCAAACCGACATGAACCTCATCGAAAAACCGAACAAAACTCACACCCGGTTCGAAACCCCTCCCCCCCCCCCCCCCCCCCCCCCCCCTCCCCCCTCCGGATCCGGAAAACCGGGAGGCGGGTCACTACCTGATCGAACCAACCCCCCACCCTCCCCCTTGAAAACCAGGGGGGGGGTCACTACCGGTTCGAACCCCCCCCCCCTCGAAAACCGGAGGGGGGGTCACTACCGGTTCGAACCCCTCCCCACCCATCCCACTCACCGCCAGCAAACGACTGCCGGTCCCTACCACCGTCCGCGCCACATCCCCCACTGTTGTTCCCAGCACCACTGTCCTCACCACCACTGTCCCCACTGGTTCCACCACCGTCCCTACTGTCCCCACCAGTGCTCCCACCACTGTCGCACTGTCCCCACTGTCCCCACCACTGTTCCCACCACGGCTCCACTCTGCCCACTTTCTCCACGGCCCCCACCACTGCCCGACTATCCCCACTGTCCCCACTGTCCCACTGACTCCTCCGCTGTCCCACTGAGCTGTCCCACTGTTCCCACCACTGTCCCCACTGTCCCCACTACTGCCCCCACTGTACCTTTGTCCCACTGTCCCACCGCCGGCCTCGCCACCGCCTTCACCACTGTCCCCACCACCACTGTACCCTCAACTGTCCCACTGTTTCCACCTCCCCCTGTCCCCACACCTCTGTCCCCACCACCACCGTCCCCACCACTGTCCACTGTCCCCATCTTCCCACCATTGTCCTCACCACTGTCCCCACCACTACAGTCCCCAACACTGTCCCACTGTCCCCACCACTGTCCCGCTGTCCCCTCACCACTGTCCCCACCACCACCGTCCCCACCACTGTCCGCACCCCCCCTCGGTTTTCGAGGAGGGAGGGGGGGGGGGTTCGAACCGGTAGTGACCCCCTTGGTTTTCAGGGGGGGGGGGGTTCGACCGTAGTTACCCCCCTTTGTCAATGATGAACTGGGGGGGGGGGGGGGAGGGGCTCGAACCGGTAGTGACCCCCCCCGGTTTTCGGGGGGGGGGGGGGAGGGGTTCGAACCGGCCGGTAGTGACCCCCCCCCCGGTTTTCCGCCAGCAGCGGTAGAACACGCTCTTTCGGATACTGAGATCGATTGTGAGATCGATAGTGGAATCGATAGTGAGGACAATTGTAAAGTCGATCGACCGATAGCGAAGTCGATCCAATGAGATCGATAATGAGATCGATCGTGAGATCGCTCGTACGATCTATAGTGAGATCGATGGTGAGATCGATAATGTGATCGACTGTGAAATCGATAGTACAGTCGATAGAGAGGTGGGTAATGAGATCGATGGTGAAATCGATGGATGAACAAATCGACAAAAAAACGGGAACCTGGGAAACCCGCCGCCCACCGAAATCGGCCTGGAACCAATAACCAGGAACCCAAGAACCCGGAACCGGGAACCCGGGAACCCAACCTGCTACCAAAATCGGCCTGGAACCAATAACCAGGAACCCAGGAACCCGGAACCAGGAACCCGGGAACCCAGGAACCCGGCCTGCTACCAAAATCGGTGGGAAACTTTCGCCAAATCTTTCAACTTCCGCTAGGACCCCTTCAGTGCAAGCAATATATATAAATATATATATATATATACATGTATACATATATATTATATATATTTACACAAGACTGCAGTGGCGCTTCGCGCCATGCACCTTGGTCCTTAGAATGTGGTACGCAGGCGGACTGGCAGGAACGTCGAGTCGACAATTTAGCGAGGCATCCCCGTTATAGTAATGTTATTCGTCATCCTTCCTCCATGCTTCTTTCCTCATTTCCACCATACTCCGCGCATTCTCCCCATCCTCCTCAGCTCTGTTTGCAGAAGCTCCTCCTTGGAGAGCCTCTAGGGGAAGGGCAAAAGTTTTTCAGGCTTTCTTAAGGCCTTCTGGAAGCCTCCTGAGCGTGTGATGGGGGCCTCTGGGGGCTTCCTCGGGCCACCCTGCCTCCAACCGCGGTTTCCCTGAACGACCAGGTCACGATTTGAAATGATTCGGAGGGTGTCTTGGGGGCCATCTTGGGCCATCATGGGGCTCTCTCAGGGCCTTCTTGGACCCCTGTTGTGCTATTTTGGGGCTCTCTTGGAATGCCTGAAGCCCTTTCGGATGGTTGTGGGGCGATTTTGGAGCCTCCCAGGCGGCTTCGGACGCCCAGAAGGAAGCCGAAAAGAGGACAACCCCTAAAATTCACCAAAAAACAACAGAAAATCAATGATTTGTGCCTCTTGGGGCCTTCTTGGAGTGCTCTTGGAGGCCTCTTGGGACGTTTCTGTAGCGACATCGAATGATGACTTTCTCATCATCTAAGCCACGAAAAACCAATCACATTGCTCATCATCTGCCGTGCCATGCTCTCTCCTGCACGAGGGGGCCTCCGACCCCAGCAATACAATCTACAGCAGTTTCGGAGCGATGTTTGGGGGTATGACGGCTTCCTGGGGGGCGTCGTGGACCTTATTGGGGCTCTCTGGGGTCGTTTCGGGAGCGCGCCAGGACGCCTAGAACCCGTCTGGGGTCATCTTCGGGCTCTCGTGAGGTTTTCCCGGGTCGTCTGAAGGGTTGCCCGGAGGCCCACGGAGGGCCAAATTCGTTTGGCGGGGGGGGGGGGCGTTTTTTCTGGCGTCCCCGACCCTTTTAAATATAAGAATAAGTAGGTGTGTATGTATATATAGAGTCTCCAAACAGCGCTTGTATTTAGGGATTCTTGATTGGCATAACCATCTCGGGGTGAGTGGCGGCTTTTGCGGGCGGTGCAGAACGTCGCCGCCGTCGCCGTCGCCGTCGCCGCCGCTCGGGGCGAGTGGCGGCTTTTGCGGGCGGTGCCGCCCGTCGCCGCCGTCGCCGTCGCATAGATTGCAACACATAGATTGCACCGCATAGATTGCATTACGTAGGGTGCGCGCATGAATTGTACCGCACAGACTGCACCACATGAATTGCACCACATATATTACACCGCATAGAGTGCATTGCATAGGTTGCCGCGCGCAAATTGCATCACAGAGATTGAACCGACAACATATATTGCATTACATAGGTTGCACCGCATAGATTGCACCACATTGGCTGCATCGCATATATTGCACCGCATAGAGTGCACTACATAGGTTGCATCCAATACATTGCACCACATAGATTGCACCGCATAGACTGCAATAACCTACTGTTTGGGGTCCACGCTGGCTAACACACATGTCTTTTACCAATATTATAGAATTATATATATATATATATATGTATATATATATATATATATGTATAAATAAATAAAGAACTCATAGCATTTAAAAAAACGAGGAGCAGAGCAAGAGGAGCAAGAGGAGCAGCGATGACGCAACCGAGCGCTCACCAGGGTAATCGCCTGGGGGGGGGCGAGGCCATGGAGGAGCGGGGTTGGATAAGAGCGGAAGACGGGGAAGAGGATGATTGGAAGAGAACAGCAAGCCTCCTGCGCGAACACAACGCAGCGGCATGCAACTATAATTCTCGTGGGCGCAAAGACAGAATTGACCACGAGCTACTGCAGGCGCTGACGCGAGATGTATTGTAGTCGCACAGCGATCTCAAGTCCCCACGCGTCGAGATGCGAACTGCTGCGCGCTGTAAACATGACCAGAAGTGACGGTAGGAACCGTTTTGCGATTGCAGCGAATATTGAAACATCGACCACCATCCATTCCCGACAGATGCGTGCGAGGTTTCTCCCAGCCTCTTTCGTCAAGTCCTCTGGGGAGGCGGGCTCGCGCCAGTCTACAAAGCAACGTAGGCCATGAACAGACAATGATAAAACCACCCCGACCCCCCCGCTTGCCCCGTCTCCTTCCCTAAACCACAGCCCCACCCATTGCGCTTCACCTAACTGTTCGCGCCAGCGTCTTGTCCACAACTCCGCCGGACCTCCAGAGTACCCCAAGAAACAATCGAGATGCCTCCTCCTTCTCCTCCTCCTCCTCCTGCTCCTCCTCCTCCTCCTCCTCTTCCTCCTCTTTCTGGTCCGCCAACACATAGCAACAGAGATGCAACATGGGCAGGCGGAGTGAGCGAAACGATTAAATAACAGAAGACAACGACCCTATCCCGCAAATTCCACGATCCCAACAAGGTGGGGCGGCGGTGTCTGACCCCTCGAGGGCGTTCGATAAATTCGCCGGCCCAACGGGGCAGAGGCGTGCTAAGTTCTCTGGTAACTGGTTCACAGAGTGTATGTATATTCTAGTTCGCGCGCGCAGGGCGGCCCCTGCGAGTGCCCGGGCGAAAAATTATCCCGGCCGACTGCCAGCGAGGTCCCAGAAAGGTACGCTCAAGGATGCCAGAACTCCTGGACGATTTTCGGCCCCCTCAATATCGCCCCAGGAGCGCCCCAAGAGACCCTCAGGGAGTTCCAAGAGAGCCAATGAGTCCGCATCGCATCAATAGGTGGCAGGCCTCACGACGGCCCGAACATAATCCGAAGATGGCTCAATATTGCCCCACGATGGCCCCAGACATGCCCAAGATGGCCTTCAGAGGCCCCTCAACAGGGCCTCAACTAGCAAAACTTCAAATTCAATTGGGAAACCAAACATGTGTAGCACCTTTGCCATTTCCGTCTAAGACGGCACGAGAGGCACAGAAAATCGTCACACGACGATCCAGGAAGCTCCCAAGAGGACCCCGAGATGCCCCCAAGATGCCCCTGAGAGGGGCCCAGAAAACCCCAAAGGCCCCGAAGAGCCCCAAGAGGCCCCTAGAAAACCCCCAAGATGCCCGCGGGATGACTGCAAGAGGCTCCCAAGACGCCTCTAGGAGTTCCCACAGCAATCCAAGAAGTGTACTCGCGGTTCCAAGAGGCCCCAAAAGGCCCCCAAGAGGGGCCCAGAAGGCCCCGAAGGGCATCCGAAACGTCCGGGGAGCAGCACAACAGGACCCAAAATGCCCCCGAAACGTCCCCCAACGGCACCAGGGGGCCGCAAAGATGCCTCCCAGAGGCCCCTGGTAGGCCTCCCACGAGAAACATGGCACCTCCCAAAGAAGCCTCTTGTCCAGCGCCGAGGGAGGTAGGGGGGAGCAGGAGGGCCTCCTCCTCCTCCTCCTCCTCCTCCTCCTCCTCCTCCTCCTCCTCCTCCTCCTCCTTCGTTCGCCACGAAAACCCATATTAGCACCTGTCCATTCAACGTGGTCCCGCGATATAGCCTCTGTCATTCCATATGGTCTTCGAGCACGCCAACATAGATCCAGAGGCCCCCGCAAAAAGCGCCCAAAAAAAAAAAAAAAAACAAGAAAGGAGAAAAAAAAAAAAAAAAAGAAACGAAGAGAAGGAAAAAAGAAAAGAAGAAAAAAAAAAAGAAAAAAAACATATCTGTCCAGTCACAATGCCGAAAAGATCCTTATAACCACTAAGACTTTTACGAAAATGTTGAAGGAAATACTTATCTTTAAAAAAAAAAAAAAAAAAAAAAAAATACCAAAAAAAAAAACAGAGCCCCGAAAGACCCACAACGGCACAAGCGAAGCACCTGCAACCACCCTGATGACCCACGACTGCCAAGACAGCACCGCAAGGGTCTGCGACATACCCCCAGAAACCAGTCCCACGGCAACTGATTCACCTCTGACGCTCGCCACGCACCGCCTCAGGAAAATGGCAGCCGCCCAGCGGCACCGCAATGACAACAACACCCTGACCAACGACAGCAGCGAGATAAGACAGCCCCCCCCCGCTTGCCCCCGTTTCCTTCCCCACCCACTGCAGAGCCCCACTGCGCTTCACCTTACCCATCCGTGTCGACGGCGGAGTAAAAGTTGCTGAGTCCAGCAAATGCCACAACACAGCCAAAGTAGGTGAGCTTCACGGCCATAGCGGTTGTCAGGCGAAGTTCGCCCACATAGAACCCCGCCGCACTATAATTGATAAATTCTACCAAGTAGTGCCTTTGGGTGTCGACGTCCCTCCCAAAATTCAAGGAATTGATCAGCGCCGGCATCCGCATGCACCTGTCCGAAACCGCCGCCGCCTTGAAGAACGAGAGCATCGCTGCCACAACCAGCAGCGCGTCGGAGCCTATCGATGTCATGTCGTCCACGTCGGCGTGCACGGCGTGCGCGCCGTACAGAGAGACGACCCCCTGCAGCACGAGCGACAGAGCCGTGCTCTGGACAATGGCGAAGCTCCACTCGAGCGCCTTGGACACCTTGCGCAGGACCGCTTGCAGCAGGTTCCACTCGTACACGCTTCGCTCGAGCTTGAATTGTTGGTCAAAGTGCGCCACGTACGAGTCGATCATCATTGAAAGGGCACAGCTGGCGTGGAGGATGCCGTCGACGACGCCCAAAAACACAAAGCTCACCTGGAGGAAGACTAAAATGGCATCGGCATGAAACTACGGGAGGTCCGCTCGGACTGTTGGATCTGCGCTGGGCCCACCTCGCTGGCGCGCGGAGCGCGCCAGGGGTGGCGCCAGAGGCGCCGCCAGGGGGACCCAGGCGCCGACCCCAAAAATCCACGAGGAGCTCCTACAAAGTATGCTTATTCCCTTCGTCTTTCCTCCGATCACCGCGACGAAGACCCCCGCAGAGGCCGCCTCCATGGGGGCCGCCGGGCTGCGCCTCCACAGCGAGATGCCGCGCAGGCCCGCGCTGCAGACCCAGAGCAGGGCGAGCTGCGCAGCGCTGCCCCTCCAGAAGAGGACGATGACGACGACGGTGATGGTGATGACGAATCACCCCCAGAAAGATATTGGCCCGAATGGACCCCACACCGTGTGCTTCTGGCAACATATGGTGTGCAGTCCATGTGGAACAGAACCTGTGATGCAGTGTGAGATGCGGTGCAGTATATGTGGTATAGTCTATGTTGTGCAATGTATATTGTGCAGTCAGCGTTGTGCGATCTATGTTGTGCAATCCATGTAGAGCAATATATGCGGTGCAAAATCTGTTGTGCAACCTATATTGTGCAACGTACGTTGTGCATTTTATGTTGGTCAATCTAGACTGTCAGTCAATGTGGAACAATAGATGTGGTGCAATATATGCTGTGCCATCTGTCGCGCCACATAGGTTGTGCAATATATGGTGTGCAATCCCTGTTTTGCAATATATGTTGTGCAATGTATGTGGAGCAGTCCATGTGGCGCAACCTATGTGGTGCCATGTATGTTGCGCAACCTATCTGGCACAATCTGCGTGATGCAATGCATGCTGAACAATCCGCCAACCCCTTGTGGGCCTCTAGGCGTGTGAAATAGTTCCACCCCCGTACTCTCTCCCCTGGGACCCAAACCAGCAATTCGACCCCCTGGATGGGCTCCCCAAGGGGGGTCCGGCCATTCCGGTGCTCCCTTTGGAGCTCCAAGACAGCCCCTGAGGTCTCCAAAGAGGCCCCCAAGACGGTCCAAGAGAGCCCCGAGTCGCCGAAAGATCGTTCCCAAACATCCACGATGGCCTCCAGATGGCCCCACACGCCTTCAAGATGCCCCACGAGGCCTCCAGGAACCTCCCCCCCCGTATCGTCCCACTCCCTGAAGACAACGTATGTTTTTAGCATATTCGCCTCTGGGGCTTCCACCAGGTCCAAGACGACCCGAGAGGTCCCCAAGAGGGCTCCAAGACGGCCCGCGAGGGTCCCCCAAAAAGCCAAAGAAGCCTCCAAGAAGGCCCACCAAAAGGGCTCCAGGACTGCCCCAAACGGGGGCCCAGAGGCAGAACCCGAACAAACATTTCGAGCCTTCGCCTCTAAGACGCCGCCAGGATGCCGCAAGAAATCCAAGAAAACCCAAGAGGCCACCCAGGGAGCCCCAAAAGGGCTCCAACAAGCTCCCCCAAAGCCCCTCAAGAGACCCCCACGAGTCCCCCGCAAGCACCCCAAACATCCCCATACAACCCAGATGGATCCGAAAACGCCCTCAGAGGCTCCCCAAACACTTCGAGAACCCCCCATTTGTTCCTTCCTCCTCCAGCTCCTCCCCCCGTCTCTCCTTTTCCCCTCCCTCCTCCTCCTCCTCCTCCTCCTCCTCCTCCTGCACTCCTCCTCCTCCTCCTCCTCATCCTCCTCTCGTTTTCCTCACACATAGCTTCTCCCTGTCGCACCCCGAGGCCAGTTTTTAGGGCGGGCTGGGTGCTTCGCCCGAGAGACTTCCTCACCATTTATGGCCCCGAAGCTTACACATCGACAACCATTTCACTCATGCTGGCCATCGCTCGGACGTCCATTCCCTGTGTTTTTTCCGGTTTCGTGCGTGGTTTTTTCGCCAAATGATCAAGGATGCTCCTCGATGGTCCTCGCCGAAGGAAAAATGCACACGTCCGAGCGATGCCTAGCATGGAGGGCGCGCCGTTTTCACAATGTGGCTCTCGCCTCAGCGCCGCGCGCAGTAAAACAAAATCGATAGTTTCACGGATTGAGGGCGACCCGTTGTCAAAATGTGGCTCTCGCATTCGCGCCGCGTGCATTCGCTTTAAACATTCGCAAGCAAGAACTTCACGGATTGAGGGCGGTTCCTGTTCAAACTGTGGCTCTCGCCTTAGCGCCGCACACATTCGTCTCTAACATTTGCAACAGTTTCACGGATTCTCATGATCAGCATACCAGCAACTCCGTTTTGGAAGGATTGAGGATTATGAGTGTGCAGCAGTTACGTTGATTCGCGGTGTTCAAGTTCCAGGAATGGCGTTCGGGCACGATTCAGGATCGTCAAGACGCAACAGTCCGGTTGACCCGTGGGTTTGGAATCCCGAGAACAATGCTTTGGCATGCTTCAGACTCTTCAAACGGGTTGTCTTCAAACGAGGCAACTCCCTCAGTGGAAATGAACCGTTGCAAGGGCCTATCACGAGGGAGCTTGGAGGTAAGGTTTATTCCAACATCGTTGATGACCCTTCGGTTTACACTGGTCTTCGTCCTCCTCCTCGTCCTCCTCCTCTTCTCCTCCAAGTCACTCTCGTCGTCCTCCTCGTCGTCCTCCTCGTCCTCGTCCTTGTCGTCCTCCTTCTCCTCCTCTTCCTCCTCACCCTCCTCTTCCTCCTCCTCCTCTCCCTCATCATCCTCATCCTCTTCCGCCTCCTCTTCCTCCTCCTCGTCCTCCTCGTCCTCCTCCCCTCCTTCTCCTCCTCTTCCTCCTCCTCGTCCTCCTCCTCCTCCTCCTCGTCCTCCTCGTCCTCCTCCTCTTCCTCGTCTTCTTCCTCCTCCTCTTCGTCCTCTTCGTCCTCTTCGTCCTCCTCCTCCTCCTCGTCCTCCTCGTCCTCCTCGTCCTCTTCCTCCTCCTCGTCCTCCTCGTCCTCCTCCTCCTCCTCCTCCTCCTCTTCCTCGTACTTGTCCTCGTCCTCTTCCTCCTCCTCCGCCTCCTCCTCCTGCTCCTCCTCCTACTCGTCCACCTCCTCCTCGTCCTCTTCCTCCTCCTCCTCCTCCTCCTCTTCATCCTCCTCCTCCTCCTCGTCCTCCTCGTCTTCGTCCTCCTCCTCATCCTCCACATCCACATCCACATCCACATCCACCCCCGCCTCCTCCTCCACAGCCTCCTCCTCCTCTCGTCCTCCTCCTCCTCCTCCCTCCTAATTCTCCTCCTTCCTCCTGCCTCCTCCCCGCCCCCCCAGGAATTTATCCATCACCCCCCCGGTCCTTCTCTTCTTCGCACTTTCCTTCTTCGACAACTCCTCCTCCTCTCGCACTCCGCCTCTTCCTCCTCCTCGTCGTCGTCGTCCTCCTCCTCCTCCTCCCTCTCGTCCTCCTCCTCCTCCTCCTCCTCCTTCCCCTCCACATCTACCTCCACCCCCTCCTTCTCGTTTTCCTCCTCCGCATCCTTCTCCTCGTCCTCGTCCTCGTCGACAAACCCAAATGGTTCCCAAAACCTGCCCCCCATCGAATGTATGCCATCACGCCCCCCGGTCCTTCTCTTTCGCACTGTACTTCTTGCTCCACCTCTCAAATCCGCCGCCGCGTCTCCTCCTCCTCGTCGTCGTCCTCCTCCTCCTCCTCCTCCTCGTCGTCGTCGTCCTCCTCCTCCTCCTCCTCCTCCTCCTCCTCCTCCTCCTCCCCCTCCACCTCTACCGCCACCCCCTCCTTCTCGTGTTCCTCCTCCGCATCCTTCTCCTCGTCCTCGTCCTCGTCAACAAACCCAAATGGTTCCCAAAACGCCCCCCGGGAAGTTATCCATCACCCCCCCGTCGTTTTCTTCGCGCTGTCCTCCTACTCCTCCTCCCTCTCGTCCTCCTCCTCCTCCTCCTACTCCTCCTCCTCCTCCTCCGCCTCGTCTCCGTCCTCCTCCTCCTCCTCCTCCTCCTCGTCGTCCTCCTCCACCATTCCTTTTCGTTATACATAAGTTCTCCCTGTCGCACCCCGAAGCCAATTTTTAGGGCGGGCCGGGCGTTTCGCCTGAGACTCCCTGACCATTTATAATTCTGAAGCTGAAGACAAACGTGACAACAGTTTCACAGATGGAAGGCGGGTGGTTTTCAAAATGTGATTCTCGCCTTAGCGCCGCGCACCTTCGTTTTCAAACTTTGCAGAAGTCTCACGGATTGAGGGCGGGTCGTTTCCAAAATGTGGCTCTCGCTTTAGCGCCGCGCACATTCGTTCGAGACATTTGCAAGGGTTTCACGGATTGAGGGCTGATGGTTTTCAAAATGTGGCTCTCGCCTTAGCGCCGCGTAGTTCCTTGCAAACAAATTGCAAATTGTTCACTGAATGAAAACGGGTCGTTTTCAAAATGTGGATCTCGCCTTAGCGCCGCGCGCATTCTGTTTTCAAACTTTGCAAAAGTTTCACGGATTGAGGGCGGGTCGTTTTCAAAATGTGGCTCTCGCTTTAGCGCCGCGCACATTCTTTTTCAACATTTGCAAGAGGTCGTTTTCAAAATGTGGTTATCGTCTTAGCGCCGCGCACATTCGTTTAAACGAAATGTGCAAGAGCTTCGCGGCGGATTGAGGGCGGTTCCCTTTCAACATGCGGCTCTCACCTTAGCACCGCGCACAATCATTTTACAACTTTGCAAGCACTTCACGGGTTTCCAGGGTCAACGTGCCAAACATAGTGGTTAGGAAAGATTCAAGATTTTGCGGGTGCAGCAATTATGTTGATTCGCGGTGTTGAGATCCCAATAATGGCGTCATGACACGATTCCGGACCGACAGAACGCAACAGGTCAGGTTGATACGTGGCGTTGGAATCCCGAGAACAGTGTGTTGGCATGCTTCAGGATCTTCAAACGGTTGTCTACCCGTTGCAGGGGCCTGTGAAGAGGGAGCTTGGAGGGAGGGTTAATTCCAACTTCGTTGATGACTCTTGGGTTTACACTGGTCCTCCTCCTCCTCGTCCTCCTCGTCCTCCTCCTTTTCCTCCTCCTCCTCGTCCTCCTCCTCGTCTTCCTCCTCGTCCTCCCCCCCCACCTCCTTATCATCGTCTTCCTCCTCCCCGTCCTCCTCCTCCCCCATCCTCCTTCCCCTCGTCGTCCTCGTCCTCCTCCTCCTCGTCCTCTTCGTCGTCGTCTTCCTCTTCCTGCTCCTCCTCCTCCCCGTCCGCCCCTGTGCATGATGACCAAGCTCATATTCTTCCACCGCCCCTCACGCCGCCATTCTCGAGCCCGCTCTCGAGCCCGCAGCGCATCGACAACCGTCGTCGTTTGCGCGCAGTCAGAGGCTTCCCGAATCACGCGCACGATCTGCAGTTCAACGCGCCATTCCCGTGCGAACGCGCAGAATTATCCTTCTCCGCAGCGCAGATTTCGGGTATTTCTTCCCGCGCTTCCGAACACCCGCGCCTCTTCCCCACCATAGTGCGCCGTGAACCCACGCTCTCCGCTGTCTGCGCACACCACTCTACTCTCGTC